GCTCTCATTATTTGACAATTTCTTTCCAGTTGGCTGGCGTACTCATTTTATACTTTTTTGATTGGTTTGGTGAATGCTTTGTTAATTATAAATTCACACCCTAATAATACATCTAACCAAACTATAGTAAATTATTTGTATTTTGGATTGGGTTTTTATTTTGTTTAATTGAGCCTTTGTTTTTATTTTTCTGACTTTTGTATTGCGCTTTTATGTAACTCTCTATGTTAATGACATGTTCAGTCCTTTAACCCAAAAACCGAAAAACCAAATCAAACTTAACTTCGTAGAAAAGAAAGAACACTCCAAATGGCTATGCATTAATTTAATTTAGTTGTTAAATAATGTGGGTGGTCTCCACACGCAAATCGGTGGTAAACTAAAGGGTGATTGATGGCCACCCCCAAAAGCATGAGTGCTGTTGGGGTTTTTTTGGGAAATGGAGGGGTTTGGGCGTTGGTGATTTGATGGGTCTCATCTCATCTCAGGATTTTAGCAATTTAGCCCCATTTGAATCACATTCGCCACTATCCTATCCTTCACTTTTCTATGTCTCATTTCATAAAATTTGCATCTTCTTGTTGTAACATCTTTTCATGTGTTATTCACACCTATCTTATGATTGAGCCTCTGGAGTTTTTCAAAGTCAGAATCAACACCACTTTTTTTTTAAATATATAGGTTTTATTTGGTAACGTCGTTTTTGATTGAGGACGCAATATAGTTCCTTCAAGTTCATGTCACTGATGGAATGGAATGGAACCCCACCCAATGTCTCTTAACAAGACTGATCAAACTCCATGTAGCATCCTTTTGCTTAATGATGCCAATCCGTCTTTCTATAACTTACAGCCTATATATATATGCTATGTGGTAGTTTTAACCTTTTTCTGTACTTGGCCATGGTTTTTAGCTGCAGGTTCCTCTCTTGTTGTCACTTGAACTCAGAGAATATCAGTCAAATAATGTCTGATGTTGACTAAATAATATATACATATATGTGTCAATTAGTAGATAGCATTTTGACTAATTGAGTTATAATTTACTTGATATATCTTGATTAGCAAGTCATTTTCTTGGACAACTGTAAGAAGGAATATTTAGAAATGAGATCAATATCATCCACCCTTACTCAACTTTAGCATGACCAAACATGTCAAGTAGTCGATGTATTCATCATGCAAACAAAAATACATGCCACTCTCACTGATGTTAATTTGATCGATCCCTTCCCTGTGTTATTGTCAAACGTTTATATAGATCACGTCAAGAGTGGGCCGGAGGGTCCCAAATAATTGAAAGATATTACAAGAATCTCATGCATTGGAAATTTGAAATAACCCTACATTAGAATCGTCATATATTATATACATACATATCTATGTGTGTGTGGAAATCTCTTTTTAAACCAAAGCCGGCCTCCTCCTAGACACTACTCTGTGATATTGTACGTTTCACAGTAAACTAAATTCTTCGGAATGAAGTTTTTTTTTTAAATACTAAGAAGACCTAAAAGCAATAAAAGACTCAATATGATATGAATACGTTTACGTGCAAAACAAGTCTCCCTAAATCTGCCCAAAGTAAGTAAACTAATTGGCTTATTAGAATACTAAATATTCTCAGTAAGCAAAGCATATTTCAAGGAGGAAAAAAATAAAAAGGTAATGGGAACGAAATAAAAACGTCAAAGAAAAAGTGAGATGAAAGGCCAAGGTGATGGAAGGATACACAACAAGTCTCCATCAAGTAGTTATGCTGAGAAAGCAAGCTCGGAAAAGAATGCTTATCTGACAACCACTACACTGTGTGATCATTATAATTTCTATACTAATCCCACAACAGATATATAAACATAAATATTTATATTTTAAAACAGGTCACGACTCATGATTACGAAACAAATCGAAAACATTTAATTGGCAGAAAATGCTTGCATCAATGATAGCAAATCCATTCTCCTTTCTTTTTTTCTTCTTTCCCATTTCTGAAATTCAATTATTTCCTCCATATTGTATGTGCGAGTTTTTGGTTTTTCATCATAGTATTAGTGGAGGTGGACGAGGGAGGGGCTAGATAGCAAGTTGGGGTTTGTAAAAGTAAATGAGTTTCAAGGGTGGTCCTCCTAAATGTCTAACCAAGTGCATGCAAGCTCATGAACATGCATAATCACTAGTCTTCCCTTTTGTAGCAGGGTCCAGGCAAAATTGTGGAAATGTCTCCTCACCTCTCTTTTTTTGTGTGGCCAATTTCATCAGGAAAGGGATTGGTAACGCTTGTTTTGGTTAAAACTTTTTTCACCTTTTCCCCATGGGATCTTTTATAAATAGGGATTACAATCCAACACTCTAATAATAACTTTGCACTGAATCAAACGGCTATTAAGGACCCCCTCATCATAACCGTTCATTCTAGCCTCTCTGTTGTCCCATAGCATATCAGTAAGTCTGGCCCCGAATTCTCTAATTCAATTTGATGGAGTTCTCAGATATTGGGCTGGGCCTTCAAGTGACTATCTCTTGCATATATATATATATAGGCCTAATTCAGTTTGAAAAGACGGGCCAGGCTGACCCAATTGAAATCTTGGCCTAAGTGTGTAATTAAGTAAAAAAGTTAATCCAGTTTAGCAAGCAAGGGCCAGGCCTTGTCTGTTTTCTTTCTCTTACAATTGAATAATTGTTTGTTAAAACTGTTAGGACAGAATAAATAACTTTAGTACAATTAGAGCTGGTTTTAGTTTGTCCTTTTGATGCTTTGCTAAAGTTCAAAGTTTCGTCAGAAAATTCCAAAACCATGAGAGCAAGCAATCCCAAGAAGAAGGTAATTGTTTCAAAAGAGATTTCTATCTATATATAACAACTGAACTGATTGAGCACAACACTGCCAAATCAAAAGCAACCAAACTACTACTCTCCCTATTAATTAATTTAATTTGCAATGCAAACTAGTACTGTAACCTATAGGTACCAACGGTCAGCCTCTGGATTGACTGCGGGAGCACACTTGTTTGGCATCTTAGCCATCATACTCTTGCTTGTTTGGTTGCTGCATTACCGTGGCGGTTTCGAATATGATTCAGACAATTCAGATCGAGTTTTCAATGTAAGTAATGATTTATTAATTTAACCTTCATATATAACCACTATTTAATTACTCACTTAATGGTGGGTTCTTGTGCTACACTTACAGCTTAGAGCTAGCTTTAGTAAAACTCAAGTCCTTAACTTCCTTTGTTTTAACTTGGCATTGGCAGGTTCATCCGTTTCTCATGATCTTTGGGTTTATTTTCTTTGCTGGTGAAGGTAATTAGGCTAATTTAACACATGTTACATGCATAGGATATAATTAATCTCGATTAATATTAATATGAGTTGGTATATGTTCAGCGATGATGGCATACAAGACAGTATTGTCGGCACACAAGGTGCAGAAGTACGTTCATGCCTTGTTCCACCTGGTAGCTCTGTGTTCGGGAATCGTCGGGATATGCGCTGTTTTCAAATACCATGACATGAACAACATAAGGGACATGAATTCCCTCCATTCATGGATTGGCTTGTCCACCTTTATCTTGTACTGTTTGCAGGTACGTACGTACGTACATAAATATATCATTACCATAAATTACACATTAGTTTGCTAATTATTAATTAATTTCAACTTGATTGATTGGCAGTGGGTGGTTGGATTTGCTACTTTCTTGTTTCCAAGAGCTTCGGACCGGACGGCAATCAGAATTGTTCCATGGCATATGAGTGGGGGGAGGGCGCTGCTGTACTTGTCAATATGTGCTGCTCTAACTGGCTTGACACAAAAATCCACATTCCTTGGGGTTGAGCATCAGCTGTCTCACAGAGAATTAAATCTGATCAACTTCACTGGACTATCAATCCTCCTCTTCGGCATCTTCGTTGATCTTTCTGTTGCTCTTGCTCGTTATGTGTGATTAATTCCCAATTATTTCTTCATTCTCGAGCCTTTACAGATGGATTATTGGATTGCACACATTAATTGTTTGGGTGTGTTGTGTGCTTAATTATGTATCTCTTTTTTCTTTTGGTGTTTATAATTTGAGCGGATCTACATGAGGGTTCATATATATTATGTGACATGGATATAGATTTATGAATTCAATTATTTTTTATTCCTTGGTTGAGCTTGTATCCGTCCATAATAAATACCATATTTTATTTGTATAAAGTTTGCACTAGCTTAATGGGTAACACATTTTATCCTACTCTTATCCTCCTTAAAACAAAAGATATGTTTTAAGTCTACATTCATAGATCATTCTCACAAAAAATTAGACAAATCGAAAACCGTTTCGACATCCAATTGTGTCCTACAAAATCAATGAACACGGTGCTTTAGGAAAGTTCTAAAATTTCAATAACTCAATTGAGTGGTCAAATGATATTGGATTCAAGTGATTTTTTGTAGAGCTGATCTTTAAATGATTATCTGAAAAATAGACGGTTTGGATTAGTTCAATACAATGCAGAGTGGGCCCTACAAGGGTGTCCTTCAAATAAGCTTATTTACTCCAACTCTTTGTATATATATATAATTATATTCAGAATATATTAGCTTGAACAGCTGCAAACGAGTAATGTATATGTGTATACAGTATACGTATGCTAGCTTGTTAAAAGAACCAAAAGACAGACACTAAAAGAAAAAGGAAAAAGGAAAAAAGCAGTCTGAACCCTATCTCCAATTTTTTTTTTCTTTTTCTTTTTACCCAGAATATCTATCCAGCTGTTTTTTCTTCTTCTTTAAATTTGTACATTGTTTGCACAACACAATGATCATTAAACTTGTCCCTTTGAGGGCATTTGGGGTTTTGCTTATATCATTATATAATTGCATTACTCTTTGGAAAAGATTATAATCTGCGTATTAATTGGAACTGAGAGCCACACTCTCCCAAGCAACATGCATATATGCATCATAACTCTCTTTTTTTGTTTTATATTAACTTAATTCAACTCACTGATTTTTCTCTTAATGAATCAGCTAATTATTAGTGCAGAGGAATGGCACTTAATTACGGCTCGCAGCTACCAAGTGTCAGCAGCAATCCCAGTTACAATATTCGCTCATTTGTTGGTGATTGCAGTGACAATCCTTGTGCTTGTTTGGCTCCTCCACTTCGAAAAAGGCCTCGCTTTTCAATCTCATCACAACAAGCACAAGATGATCAATGTAGTTTTCTTTTCCCTTAATACTAGTTGTTAACAAGTACTGTACAAAAATTTCCGGAGTTTTTCAATTTTTCGCGTTCCTATCCTTACAGATGCATACACTTCTAATGATACTTGGACCTGTTTTAGCTGGAGGAGAAGGTAAGCAACTAATAAACACGCATAAAATGCATTAAGAAAAAACAGTTAAGAAACTAATGTTTATTATGTAATTAATTTACTAAAGATATGTCATCTGAAGCAGCTATCATGGCATACCAGCTGACAGTACAGGCCAAAAGAAGGACCCAGAAAGCTTTTCCATTCAATATTGCATTTCACTGATCTTGTGCTTGGAATTATGGGAATTTATGTGATTTTCAAACTTCACAATGATATAAGAAGTCGAAACATGTACACCTTACATTCCTGGTTGGGCATGATAGCCATCTCTTCATTTGGTTTACAGGTAGTAAGAAATTTATTTGAAAAATTAATCAATAAACATTCTACTATGTTGTTATCAAAATTAATTAATTAGTAAAGCCATTGTTTATTAATTAATTAATTGTTGTGTTAATTCAGTGGCTGTTTGGCTTCTTCACCTATTGCTTCCCGGGTGCAGCGAAGGCAGCAAGAGCTGCACTTGTACCGTGGCACGCATTCATTGGCATGGCCATCTTCCTCTTGACAATATGCACCACTGAGACAGGGTTGGTTGAAATATTCATACACTTGGGCTTAGTGCACAGTCAAGAAGCTCTTTTAGTAAACTTCATTGGCCTCTTGATTTTTCTGTTTGCAGTCAGCGTTAGCCTCACCCTACTCCTTCCACGATGAGTTCATAAATAAAAATGTTCAGGTCTGGGTTGTATATATCATCTCTAAAAGCAATTGTCAAAACCTTCAATTTCAGCATTTTAGGGGACACGTTCATGTTATTAATAATCTCAACCTAAGATGACATGTAGCATATCTGTTTTAATCTGCAGAAGGGAAGACAAATACTATCTGCTAGATTTACTTGTTTTAATCGTGGATGTTAACCTTACCTTGCTCTTATTTTGCATGTGGTGAAAATTACTACATAGACACGAAACGTGATTCAATTTAATTGTGTCATAGCAAGCTATAATCAGCAAACTCTATAGCTGGAAAAACTTGTGGTCACATATGATTGAAGCAACTTTCATGATCTAAATAGAGGGAGGACAAAAAAGATTCAAAGTTGCTTTCAATTTTCAATGGAACTTGTATTTTCTGTGCTTCATGATTGTGATTCACGGCTTTACTTAGCCGTACGTGACAAACAAAGTGGCAAACCTCTCCATGCCTTTGGGCTTGCCGCCTTAGGTTTTGCCGGCTAGACGGTTTCCCATATTCCATATATTTGGCGGCATCCTTCTCGTTCAAACAAAAAGGCTTCTCTTTTTAACCTTAAACGTTGTTTACTGTCGGCAAAGCTTCAATTTTGCACATTGATCTTATCAAATTTGCATCCTTTGCCAACACCGGTTCTCTTCGCGTGTTGTTAAATAGTACTAACCGGCCATTCCATAATACTCTAATTAAGGTTGTAGCCCCGTCCCTTCTTTTGCTTCAAACACACAACCACCTTCACAGAGGCTTAATTATAATGGCACCGAAGAGCCGTAGCTACCAGATATCAGCAACCCCAGTTACAATATTTGCCCATTTGTTAGCTATAGCCATAACAACCCTTGTGCTTATTTGGCTCCTACACTTCCGCCATGGCCTTGCCCTCAACTCCTTCATCAAAGAGAAAATTTTAAACGTACGTTGTTCACTTAAGCAAAATCTTGCATGCTCATCAGATGTTAAGTTTATGTGATCATATTCATATTTTCTGATTTTTACAGGTTCATACGCTTCTAATGGTAATTGGGTTTATTTTGATTGGAGGAGAAGGTAATGGAACTGATCAGTAGGTCCTCTATATAATCTATATATGTGCCTCTTAAAAGATTCCATCTTGTTAGTTAGCAGCATTAATTAATTTGAATTAAGGACTGATTAGGTGCCAATTATTAGTGCAGCTATCATGGCATACAAGACAGTCCCAGGGAAAAGGAACACACAGAAAATGGTGCACCTGATATTGCATTTTCTAGCTCTGGTGGCTATAATCTTGGGGATTTATGCAGCATTCAAGTTTAATCATGAATCGGGAATTCCAAATTTGCTCACCTTACATTCCTGGCTCGGCATAATCACTATCTCTTTATTTGGTCTTCAGGTTTTTTTTTTTTCCTACTGTCGATGCCTTGCCTATACAACAAATATTATTAGCCAATTAATTATTATTATTTTGTTGTAGTGGTTGTTTGCTTTCTTTGCCTATGTTTTTCCGGGTGCAGAATCGTCAGCAAGGGGAAATCTTGTGCCATGGCACACTTTCGTGGGCATGGTCATCTTTCTGCTAGCAGTATGCACTGCCGAGGCAGGGTTGCTGGAGAGGTTCCTTTTCTTAAGCATAGGGCGCACCCAAGAAACACTTATAATCAACTTCACTGGGCTTTTGATCTTTCTATTTGCAGCCAGCGTCAGCCTCACTGTCCTCCTCCCTCGACTTTACTAATTAATTAGCTAGAGCTTGTCATATTTCATGGTTTTGGTTTGTCAGTTAAAATAACATGCACTCTACCTATATATTCCTTTTTATTTATTTGTTAATTAATTACTTCATTTCTACATTCATAAAAGATTTGGTTAGTGAGCCAGATGGGATGCCTAAACGTATACTACAAATTAAAGCAATGAAATATTATTCTCTTGCTTTCTATCTGTCAAAGTATATTACCAAAATAATTGAAAGTAGATCGTAGGTGGGTATCTAATGATAATTTAATCTCAGCTCGCAGCATCAGTTTACTTTAGCATAATAATGCTGGCTGTCCTTTTTGGGTAGATAATGGATTGGATAGTATGCACTCCATTGCAAATCTGCAATCACAAATGGCGTTTTTGCAAACCAATTTTGATTTCTTTTTACAATGGTGGGCAGAGGGCTGGGCAGTGGCACCAAAATGGTGCAAGATCCTAGTCGCAATCAGCGTCAACTCAACTCAGTGGTCCTTAATCCTAACTGTGGCATAATATAGGGTCAACATGGTCGTTGGTGGCGCATTACCTCCTAAGATATAGAACAAACAAATGCAATGCAAGACATATATTCTGGTGCCAAGATATTATATACTAAAGACATAATCATATGATGTTTTATTTTATAGTAGCAAACGACGAGGATATCTGGATATATGTTATGTCATTATGGCAAAGAGAAAAACACGTGTGCGGCATTGCTTAGCTCAAACTCAAACATTGCTATCCAAGCAGCAGCATAAAGCAACTCCCACCCCAGGGAGGAGAGAGCATATGCAGAAAGAATGATGCCAACTCTCTAACTATATATACTCATTAAACTGATTACAGTAACAGTCTCTGCAAAAGACTTCTGAAAAAGAAAAAAATCATTTTATTGTTGCCCATAAAGTCAAATTTAAGATGCTTGGAAGCTCGCGAGGGTGGTGGTTTTTCCTAAATTCTAGATTGCCAAGGACATGCAGGATAAAATAACTTGGAATTTTGCAACTGAGACAATCATTCACTTTGATTAGAAATAACAAGCAGAATCCAAAAAACGAAATAACATTAATAAACTACATATAATTAGCACCATTCTCAAAAGAAACAAAAAAAATCAAGGAACAAAAGAAACTACACCCGTTGCTGCTTTGTTGCTTCCATTCTCTCCAACAAGCCATCAATCTCGGCTCGCATTCTAGTCTTCATGTTGTAATAGTCACAATGTGAACTTTCCAAAATTTTCAGCTCCTCCAATTTCTTCCTTCGCCTTTCCTCTGTCTCTTGCAGACACAGTTTGGAAAACTTTTTAGCATACTCTTCCTCCAACTTATCCGTCTTTGTTTGAATCATCTGACGGTACCCTTCTGCCTCTCTCCGCGCTTCATCTGCCTTGCTCTGGAACATTCTAGCTTCTGCTTCCTTTATCCTCACTATGCTTTCCAAGCTCTCAAACCCATCGATTTTTGGTAATGTTCCGAACTGGAACTCATCCTCATTGCTTATGAGGGATGATTTGAGGTCATTCTGACGGGTATCATTTGACAATAAATCACATTGTATACTAGAACTTGTGTTGTAAGCAGCATATTTTGGAGGTAGAGAAGCGGATTGTGAAAAAGGAGTTGAATCTTTTCTCAGGCTAGCTTGAGTGACTGCCAACTCTTTCGTGGATATGCGAGAAGCAGGATATTCTGACACTCCATCTGTATCTATTTAACAACGAAAAAAAAAATCCAGAGTTAGGCATGAATAGATACTGAATAACTCATATATTTAAGTTACTGACACATTTAGAACAAAAATATACACAATTCTTGGACATTATCAACTTCTCACAAGAAAAACCTTTCACAATATCTAAACTCAGGCGGTATGGAGATGATTTGACACTGAAACCAAAAGGAAAGAAGAAAATAGGCCAAAAAGAAAACAAAAGAGTAGCTAACGGGTGGTGAAGCCGTCACAATCCTCAATTAAGCAATTCAGAGAGTATTCTTTTCAAAATAGTTCCAATTACACTAGCCATAGAGTACCCAATGAAGGTCCCCTTTTACTGTTCCCACTTACTCTTTCTTTCACCTCGCCGCATTTTTCTCCTCCACTTATATTTGTGTGGAGTCTGACCCTAGCCCTCCCTATAATTTCATTACAGTAGTTATAAGAGATCATTCCTAACATGCAAGGAATAAGCCAAATTTATGCAGCGAAGCAAAGCAGTTCATACTCCATAACAGAACCATACCCACTGTCCAAGACATGCATTTTAAAATTTCAGCTACTTACAATGAGGGCTAACAACAAATAGCAAGTAAATGAATAAATATGAAAGTTGAAATAGAAAAGGAAATACGAAAATCTTGGGGACTTACAGTTAAAGAACTGAATAATGAAATTGCAGGCATCTGAGGGAGACATCATTTGGCTTCCAAGCTTGGAGATAATCTCCTCAGCCTTAATATGAAGTTCGCGGCCTTTAAAATCATCGCTTCTCCTAAAAATCTTCCTAACACAGTCAAGCTCCTTGATAAGGGTCTCTAGTCCCCAGTCCTTTGCACAGCACAGAAACACATCCTTAACGAAGCCAAACATTTCTGAAGCATGACCACATCCAATGCAATGAAATTGCATCTCACTTGTCCCAGAGGGCCCCTTCAAGCTAGGACCTGGCTTAATGAGGTTCCTCTGAATACCACAAGCAGCATGGCACCAATGCCCACAAACATCACAGCCAACCCAACTACAAGTATTACTAGCACAGTCAAAATTCAAACAAACAGGACACATACAGGAACTGCAAAAACCCTTATTTGCAGAGCAAACCTTGCAGTCACAATCCTCAACAGGCAATAAACTCTTGCAGTTCACATTCCTACATCTCATAAACGAGAAAATCTCCACCAACTCGGTTGTGGGAAGGCGGTTTTTGCCTGATACGAAGTTCCCAAGACCCATTTTCACCGCAACCAAAATCTCCAATTGGTCTTTCTGGCACTTAGCAAGATTCTCATTTGTAAGATCAGACCTTCTATGGAGCCGGTTTTGAAGGCTCACTAACTCCTCTTTCTTCTCAGGCATGGATATCAGATTCTTCAAGTATTCCTTGGTTGATAAGAGTGTTTCATCAGGAAGCTCCTGAATTATCTGAGCCATGACAGGTATAGACTCTGAAATAATTTCACGGAGAATTCTCTCCGGTCTAGAAAGTTTCCTGGCTCTCCCAC